CGTCTACCTTGCCATTGTATCAACGGCATTTCATTTGTCTCTCATTATTTTGCGATTTTTCATTATTAATAATGTCTGATTGCATGCAGGTAACTTTGGAGATCGCTTATGTGTCACCTGCCTGACTGTCTTGTTGGGATATAAGATTATTTCAAAAACTTATCCACAGGTACCTGACCCATTGTAAACAATACACCCTGAGATCATGATGAACAACAGAACTAAATAAATAAACATTGTTGTCAATTGCGTGGGTGCCTGTGTGTTTTTATAAAACTTTGTTTTTTTAAATACCTTGCATCACCTGTTTACATTCAAAAGGTATGTTTTTGTCAAAGTGACGTCGGTGTGTGTATGGTTAAAGTCTACACACCGAACTATTTGCATATTGTATGACGTATGTAGCTTGTATCTGAACTTGAAAACTTGCTCTGGATGTGAGGTCTGGTTCTCTGCAGACCCCGAGGTCAGCTTTCCATGGCAGATTAGAAAGGAACCAACTGGGGAACATGGCAAGCTGGTTCAGGCCGTGGCGCCATTCATCTGCACCCTGTCTCGCTTCCTCCCGACAAACAGCACTTAAAACTGTGTACACTCAGTGTCTTGACTTCATGAACGACTCAGCGGAGTAGGGGGACTTTTGGCAATATTTTGTTTTGGCTTAACTCCGAATGGGAATAATACCAAATGTGATCGTTGAGATGTAAAAATATGTCTGCTTCCTCATGAAAAGACAGCTCTGATTGGCTGACGGGACACGGTAATGAATGAAACGACCTGTCAGTTTTATATCTCGCCAACAATTTTGACTGTCACACATCACATCCGGTGCTTAGGGTTCGTTTCTAATTGTATTCAGCAAGGATAATATTTTTGTCCATTTAACATGTATAATATTATGCCTTTTCAAAATTTATTTTCCTAGAATTGTTACATGTTAAAGATGTCAGTGACCTGCCACAAATTTGTTGTGACGTAAGCATGACCACTTTGATGTGTCTCTCAACAATGCCATCATGAGTACATGGAGATAAAAACATTGTTTACCCCTGTTGGTAGATATTTAGCAGAGGATATGCTTTAACACTAAATGTGTTATGATCAATTAATATCCTTCAAGACTCAACCGACCCGTGAAGATCCGGGGTAGAATAGGTCTTCAGCCACCTATGCTTGTCGTAAGAGGCGACTAATGGGATTGGATGGTCAGGCTCCCTGACTTGGTTGATGCATGTCATCGTATCCCAATGGGTCAATCAATGCTCATGATGTCAATCACTGGATTGTCTGGTCTAGACTTGATTATGTACAGACCGCCGTCATGTAGGAGGAATATTTCAGAGAGAGGCGTTAAACAACAAACAAGCAAACATGACTCAACTGTTTTCTTGACATGTCTTCTTTTTAACAAATAACTGAATGGATCATTATATATTAACTTGTTCTAACATTCTTTACTCATAAGGAGAAAAATTAACACAAATGAAGACAGCCTTGCTTGACAACAGTATAAGGAGCAAAAACGAAACCTTGCTATGAAACTATTATAAAGAAGTTGTTATCCATAGACTGTTTCTACTTTGTCTACTTCAAAGAAATGTCGATTCATTTAGAGATCTATAAAAGAACTAGAAACTACAGCGATATTTATAGTCTCTGAAGTCAGTGTTAAAACTATGTATGCTTTGAGCAGGTGTTATGAATGCTAGCTATGAAATCATAGGGATTGGCAACAGTAAAGCCTCGATTGTGAGGGGCTTGAAACACATGGAGCTGACATTCCAACAAGCATAGGTAAACAGGTCGCAGTGTGGCGCCAGATCGTGCACTGGGGAACTGGCAAACAATGACGGAGCCACTCACGACTGAACACAATCATATTTCTCCCTATAAGGCAGGGAAGGTTGACGTCACTTTGTTCAAAGTACGTCACACGTGGAATGACTTAACAGGAAGGGGCTAGGGTGTATTTGACTTCGGTCAATTAGAGATTGGAGGTGTGAGAAGACTCATGATCAAGACATCAAAATATACACAGCGGCTAGCACATGTGGTTGTCATAGGCTCTGGTGGGAATGTTGTGGAACGAGATCTGGCGGAGTTTTTTGGTGCAGTGTGGTATTTACCCTGTGAGTTGGGTACGGTGATTTCTATACAGGGTGGGTGGTACATGGTCACTAGATGCAGTGTTTCTATGGAATAATTCCTTCACGAGGTCGTGAAGTGCGGTTCATATCTTACCACAATAATATCCCTGCATTTCATGTGTAGTGTTGGTTGGAGATGAAGTATTGATGTTAGCAATTAAGGGAGGTCCTTGCGTCCCTTTCAATTTTGGCAATAGTATTTATCACAGGACCCCTAAATTTATCATAATTGACCATTGGGACCATGGAGCTCACCCTTTACCTACAGCACTGGATTTCAGTCGTAGGCTTGTGTGGGACAAATTATTATTATGATCATTATTGTTTTGGTTTATTGTTAATGCAGTGCAAATTCCTTGGTTTGAATCCATGGTTGGGTGATTTGTTCATCAAACTATAGCAGGCCTTGCGTCTATGAGCACTAACTTGTTATCTCAAACCTGAGGATGTCTTTGAGTAGCCCAGCAGTTAGGGTGTCCTCGGCTACTATGATAGCTGGAATGTTCTAAACTGCATGAAGCAAGATCTGGTTCGAGTAGGTCTAAGGCAACCCATGCTTGCCGTAAGAGGCGATTATGATTGTCGTAAGAGGCGACTAATGGGATCGGTTTGTCAGGCTCACTGACTAGGGTGATGCATGTCATCGTATCCCGATTGTGTAGAGTGATGCTCATGATGTCAATCACTGAATTGTCTGGTCCAGACTCGGTTATTTACAGACTGCTGTCATATAGCTGGAATATTGCTGAGTGCGGCGTTACACAACAAACAGTCACACATGAAATCCTCACACAAGATCAACATCACCTCTATACGACCACAAGTAGCTGGTCTCACTTCCTGATTAACAAGATGAGTTGATGGTCTAATTATTTAAAGCGTGTGATATAAGTGAAATGTTGTTTGTAGAATGTATCATCTGATGTCAAGTTTCCAAGTGAGTTGTATGATAAGTTACTTGCAAGATGAAAAATCTATGGATGGTGTTTCCTGACGCTGTGAAACTAAAGATGACAGTGCTTGGTGATGCTACATCATGAAACTCATCTCCTGTCCAATATTTGGTATGTCAACATTCTGAACATTGTTATTGACATCTGCAGATTCACAAAACCATTAAATGAGTTTATAGTGATACAATATCAAGACTGTCTTATATTTGCAGTGGTTGTCGTGTTAATTATCAGCAGTAACACCAAACACAGTTCTTAATGTCTAATAGTTGACCCTGGCACCATTGCTGTTTCAGATAATGATAAATATATTGAGATATATTGTTTAATATTATTTTTTTCAAATCTCTGAAATTAGTTCGTAGTGGAATCCATTGTTGCTATTCTTGTAAGAGATCCGGGTTCTTCAGTACGGACAAATATGCCTTGATCATCACCGACAGGACGGGTTTCCTTAGGCTGATCCGCTTGAGTAGAAATATGACGGTCGAAAGCAGTGGGGAGACCCAGCTTTCGTTTCCTGGTAGTGAGTCAGATCTAGCTAATAATAGACCTACCAGCCACGCTCTGGTCACACGACTCCACCCAGTGGAGGGACACACCCACTTGTTCACACGGTGTGACATGCCGTTGATTATTGATTATTGTATGTTTGGCTCAACAAACATGTCGAGCCTATCAGATCCATGTTTGAAGTGTGAATACAGTAGCACCTGAACTGTGTGTGGGAGGGTCCGTCCGTCGGTCGGTGATCACGCCTCACCAGGGGGTGTCGCATGTAGGGAGAGTCATGGCAGCCTATTGAGACTGTTCAAGCATTGAAATCTTTCAAGAAAAGTTTGATTAAAATAATATGTGTCATTGTTTAAGTTATAGTCCTGCACCATGACTGTGGAATATATTTATTTTATGAAAAAAACACAATCTAGAAACACATACAAAAGTAAGTCTAGCCAGCTCAAGAAGGATATTGTGTAATATAAGATTTCATCAACTAAATGTTCGTCTATTTAAGTTATTAATTGTGTGAGAGATCATCATATATTTGTGGCATCCTATTTATTTCATGGTAAGACTAATTATGTTATGAGCTTATGTTTTTTAAAATATATATAAAAATATGTCTTCATTGATATACAATATTCAGGATTTGTTTTTCAAACTTCCTGTTCAGTATTAAATGTATCATGTTGTTTTAGTTGGCCTAGAAAATCCAGGAAGCGAAAAGTAAAAGTAAAAAGACTTGCATTTAGTTGCTGTTCAACATGTCATATCCATCATGTCACTGTGACCTCCAGCAAGCACCTGGTTAGAAACTAACAGTTTTTGTCCACTAGTCCTTAAAATGATAACATAGAGCAAAACCCTTAAAATGGGCCAATTTCTACTTGTCCTTACGATACCTTTACTATTGGGCAGTCTGGTAAAGACTACCAGACTAGTGCCAATTCCTAACGCTGAAATTTAGCACCTGGTTAGGACAGGCGCAACAAGTGCCTGTATTATAGAGGATGTCATGTTTTGTATATTCATGAGATGTGTTTTTGTATGTCATAGTATTCTACTTAACCTTTGATAGAGATAATCCGATATGTCATTCTATTTTGATACACAGTAAACATGTTATAAGATGTGTATCATGAAAAGTTAAAAATATCCCCATCCAAAGTGGTGTATAGGGGTGGCACGATACATTATTGCATCGTGAGTTTTCATGCGAAGATATGATACCGAAGTTTTTTTCTGTATCGATACAACACGATACACTTGCTAAAATAGACTCCTTTTACTGAGGTCGTGTTGGTGAGGTCGTGAATGAGATCCACATCACAACAGTGACTGTCTCTAACAGTGTTTTCTAATGAAGCATGTTTTTACAGAGGAATGTTTTGTTTTGCAGTGGATCCAGCACTGTGGCCATCGACAACAAGATTGAACAAGCTATGGTAAGTTATCAAGTTGAAATTTATTATATATTTTTTGGACCACCTACATTGAATTTCAGGCCAGTATTTAGTTTTGAAAACAAATGAATAAAAAGTATAGATCTTCGTCAGTGTACCCTAAGGACGTGGGCATTGATCGTGTGTCGGACTCAGTTCCCGTGGCACTTGTTTCACGTGATAACTGTCCACAACATGGGTCGGGGGAATGGCGAGACAGGATGCCTCGGTGATCATCATACCCGTCCCATGAAGATTCGGGGTAGAAATGGTCTTTAGCAACCCATGCTTGCTGTAACAGGCGACTAAGCTTGTCATAAGAGGCAACTAACGGGATCGGGTGGTCAGGCTTGCTCACTTGGTTGATGCATGTCATCGTATCCCAATTGTGTCATTCGATGCTCATGATGTCAATCACTGGACTGTCTGGTCCAGACTCGATTATTTACAGACCGCCGTCATATAGCTGGAATATTGCTGAGTGAGGCGTTAAACAACAAACAAAGTACCATCATACCATAACAGCATGGGGCGTTGCTAACTGTCTCAGGGGAGCACAGGTGGCCCAGTCGTCTAAGGCGTCTAAGGCGCAGTGATCCGCTGTGCAGAGTTGCGTCCCTTGGGCGCGCCAGAAACCTGTGATTGTGGGTTCGAATCCAGGTTCGCCCTGATTATGTTTCTAGGTTTGTCAGCACCATACCTGTGCTCGTGGGTTTCACCGAAGTGGTAAACGTCTGAGACCTGCATCACATCGGGCTTTCCTCCCACATTAAGCTGACACGCCATGATATAACTGGACTAATGTTAAAAGAATTGTTAAACCCAACTCACTCATTCACTAATTGTCTCAGTCACTGGATTGTCCAGTCCAGACTCTCATATACAGGCCACAGTCCTATAGCTGGTATATCTGCTTAGTGTGGCATTCAACAACACAGCTGATTATATATGGCTTGTAACTGGCTGTTTAGTTTTCGTCTTTCTGGTTTTGAATTATTTTTTAAATATTTCTGTAAATGTTATCGAATATCCAGAAAATGGAATTGCTGGCTGGGAGAGTAGTCCTGGTCCCAGGTGTCAGTCTTGCTGTGATTGTTGTCCTGGTCCCAGGTGTCAGTCTTGCTGTGATTGTTGTCATGGTCCCAGGTGTCAGTCTTGCTGTGATTGTTGTCCTGGTCCCAGGTGTCAGTCTTGCTGTGATTGTTGTCATGGTCCCAGGTGTCAGTCTTGCTGTGATTGTTGTCCTGGTCCCAGGTGTCAGTCTTGCTGTGATTGTTGTCATGGTCCCAGGTGTCAGTCTTGCTGTGATTGTTGTCCTGGTCCCAGGTGTCAGTCTTGCTGTGATTGTTGTCCTGGTCCCAGGTGTCAGTCTTGCTGTGATTGTTGTCATGGTCCCAGGTGTCAGTCTTGCTGTGATTGTTGTCATGGTCCCAGGTGTCAGTCTTGCTGTGATTGTTGTCCTGGTCCCAGGTGTCAGTCTTGCTGTGATTGTTGTCCTGGTCCCAGGTGTCAGTCTTGCTGTGATTGTTGTCATGGTCCCAGGTGTCAGTCTTGCTGTGATTGTTGTCCTGGTCCCAGGTGTCAGTCTTGCTGTGATTGTTGTCATGGTCCCAGGTGTCAGTCTTGCTGTGATTGTTGTCCTGGTCCCAGGTGTCAGTCTTGCTGTGATTGTTGTCCTGGTCCCAGGTGTCAGTCTTGCTGTGATTGTTGTCCTGGTCCCAGGTGTCAGTCTTGCTGTGATTGTTGTCTCCAGCTGGTGTCAGCTCCTACGTTTATCTGGACATGTTTATTGGTTATACCGTTTATCTGGACATGTTTATTGGTTATACCGCAATAACACTATGATTGGTACAAGCAGTTGCAGTGTCATCAGATGACCTGGTTTATGAAGTTGGTGTTTCTGGTTCAGTGCACTGTAGTTCAACAGGTCAGCAGATGCTAGTAGTTGATGTTGGTGAACATTGTGTGTACCAGATGGGATCATTGCTGGTTAAATGACTGACAAATAACTGACAAATAATGTTAGAACACAAAAAAACACTGGGCCGAATTTTAAATTGTGATTTTGTTTATTTTGTACTTTTAGTAAATTCTAAATCTTTTATAAGATTATCCTCATCTAATTCTTCATCCCAGTAAATACCAGTACACTTTAATTCTTCATGCCAGTAAATACCAGTACACTCTAATTCTTCATCCCAGTAAATACCAGTACACTTTAATTCTTCATGCCAGTAAATACCAGTACACTTTAATTCTTCATCCCAGTAAATACCAGTACACTCTAATTCTTTTGAGTTATTTACTGAAAATCACAACATGATATAATTTTTTTTAACATGAACACTCTTATTCTTTTTAATAGATTAATTTTGAATTGTTCAAAATCTTATAAGTGTAATTTTCACCCAATTTCATGCTAGTATTGGTTTAGTTTTATTGACAAATTGAGAACTCTAAGACTAACACTTTTACACATCTGCATATACAAACAGTCCATGTTACCAGCATGATATTGATAAATAGTAAATTATAAATGAAAGTCTAGGAGTGCTTGTCATGATATCTCCTGTTATTTAAAAGTTAAATATTGAAGGAGGGAGCAGCTGATTTAAGTCCTAGCACAGCATTAGTCCTCACACAGGACCCCTTGACCTTAGTGTACAACAGTTTAGATGTGGTGTACCTGTGGTCTGTGACCGTCACCTCTCTGTACTCGGCAGACACTGGACACCGAGTACAGATGAGTGGAGGGGAAACTACACGCAAGTCTCATCATCAACTCATCTCATCAGCTGACCTTTGATTCATTGATTGCTTTGAAGTTTTCAATATAGAACCACAGCGGTAACCACTGCCCTAACCAGGAAAGGGCAATCCTCAGTCTTCAGATCAATAATCTGGCAGTGACGGCTATCATCTGCCGTATATATACTGCATTTATAAATACACATCCGGAGGCCGTGTCCTCACAGATGACACATTCAAGACACAAAGGTGTCGTCTTGTTCCATATAGGGCATTGGGTGGGGTGACTGTGCTGGGAGGCGGGACTTCGGCAACTGCTAAGCAACAGGAAGGGTTACACCAGCGAGGGCCGTCCTTAGGCTAGAGGCTTGCTCAGAGGTATATTTAGATCCCGGTGAAGCGGCTGCATTTATTAATGCCTGGGCCAGCGGAGAGAGAGGACTTGTGATAAGCTGTGTTGTGATAAAGTCTCACTGAGTTTGTATAGCTGGCTGAGGTGAAGTAACTGAAGACACTTGGTAGTTGCTGTTATCCAGTTTGAGAAGTTGTCACTTTAGATTGTCAAAGAACCAGTTACTATGAGTTGTGCAGTTGCTCCTAAGTCGATGACGACAGCAATGTCTCAGAACGCGGTAGGTTACCTGCGACGGGACCCCACTAACATCATAAGGACTCTTGATATGAAAATTGCTGTGAGTAGTGCTCCTGGTCTATCCTCTACTTTCATCTTTTTCTGCATGACTATTTACTTATCTTTTTTATTATTTTCAGGTTCAAATTCCACTAAACTTTCTGCGTTTTATGTTCTGAATGAATCTAATACTTGCTTCGTAAACGAATGATTTCTTTTCAGTTTAACCAAAACATTGCATCATGCATGACTCATTGATCAATAGTTTAGAAATGCACGAAGCCTGGTGTATTTTGTTCAGCAATGTGACTCCATTCACGCATTTGTTTGTCTATGTGTGCCTTGCAGTAAGTGTAGTCCGTGCTGGAGGCCTGGGCCGGCCGGCCGTGTTGATAAGGCTGATAACCTCCTCAACAAGCATTATCTAAAGTAGACCTGCACTTATATAAACCACGTCCTGAGCTCACCATCATAAGTCCAGGTGGACTCTGTAATCTGGGAAAAACAGCTTAGTGAAATCTGACTGAGTGTACAGGGAACCTTTTGAGTGGAATCATCAGCCATGTTTATGGGTGTTAGTGGTTTATGCAATGCATTATGTTGAGGCTGGTATCTTGGGTTTGTGGTTTACCTCTAGGACAGGGCCTGCATATCTCCGAGTATGTACACCCTGTGTTGTGATGGTTTCAAGGACAAAGGGCAGTTTTATCAGTTGATTGGCCTGTCATGGACTTTATTGTTACAGGGAATCTGAGATCCAGGCAATTTTGTGAAAAATTGATTTTCAATTATTCATAGTCAACAAGTTAGCATGGCGCTATCAAGCTACAAATTAAATAATTCTCTCTGGCTAAATGCCATCATAAGATAGATTGCTAGAAACTAAACCAAACATATTCATGTAAAGGAAGGACTATCTGTAGTTTGGGCTGTCATTACCTGGCTGTGCGGTGAGCACACTTGACCTGGATGAACTCAAGGCTGCTACACATATGTTAAGTGTCATGTAGGTAGCGTGGCTGGAAAACCCCCAGACTCTCTCGCATATATACGCAGTGGGGATTTCACAGTCAGCAACTAGGAAGTATGACCTGTTGTTATAAGTTATAAGTAGATGTTCCTTGATGTCTCGATGTTTGCTTTATTTGGAAAGTGAAAACTCTCAGAAAAGCTCAATCTCATGAAAGGACTGCACAAAAAAATATTAAAATAGTTATCAGTTAGTTAAGTCATAGATACATATACATGTATAATATAAGCTCAGAATTAAAATAATTAGTTTTGATAGACCCTCTTAAATACATATAATGTAAATATCATAAGCTTGACTATTTCCTCACATAGTTGTGCCTTTGTGTCATACACTGTAAGTGTCCTCAAGTATCGGCAGACTGATAAAACAGGATTTAAACTGAACTCAGTAAATGTGTATTTTTATGTTCAAACCTGAGACTCATCAAAAACACAACATTACCCTTATTGAATTTTTATTAATTAATAAGCCCTGTGCTAAGGAATTTTAATATAGATCATCTGCACCAAGTGCCTCCATACTTGAAATAGCTCTGTAATTAACAGCAAGCTTACGTAACAGCTTTGTATGGCCATGTTTGAATTGAAGCCACTACAACGAACTCTCCGGCAGTGTTATAACAATTAGTTCAGCCCTCTTTGTAAACATGGGTTTAGTCTTCACAGACTAAGGACTCATCAAATTTGTCGTAATCCATGTCAATGACAAAAACAGCTTCATGCTTTTTTAACACTGCGAGGCTCCAGGCGGAGTTAGCTGTGGATGCACTATGGCGGTTTTGCCAGACAACAGTGAAATTGATTGCTCCTTGTGAAGGCGACTGAACAAAATGCTTGTAACATATGATTAATTTACTGTTAGCCTGACCAGTTTTGCTTTGGTTAGGGGACCCTCTAGGCATCTGAAAAGAAAATCATTGAAAGTTTGTTGTGATTTTCCAGAGTGTGGTCATATTGGATTTTTCTGCTAATGTGTTAAAGGTTCCTGAGCCGATATTCTGCAAGTTGGTTAGCCAGAGTGAGCCGAAGTTGTACATTTTCGATTGATTTTCATTTAGAGTAGGTAACAACATTGGATTTCCTGCCTGTTTGACATTGATTAAGAAATAATGATATTTTCCCATTTCCTGGGAATTTCTGTTGCTTAGGAATGTGTTGTGGAAATCTGGCAAAGTTTCAAAGTCCACGTCACTCTGTTGACCTGATAATGCAGAACCAAACACAGCTATGTGCAAAAACTGCGTTGTTATAACATTTAGTACAGGAAGTGTAGACTGCAGCATGTGCATTGGATGCATGTCAGTGCAGTGACGGCAACAGGCGGCCGGCGCAACATGTGCAGGTGGTTGGAGGCTAGCCTTGCTCCAAGGCTGTCCTGAAAGAAAAGTCCATGGATGTGTAGTAATTCTATCCTCCTAATAGGCAAGTCTAGATATGTGGACAGTAAGGACTCCAGTCTCTTATGTGGACAATTTGTCTAATTATTTACATAATCTAGAAATTATGATTTAAGCTAATAATTATTGCCTTAGAGACTTGTGCAAGTCTAGTTGGAGGCAGGCACTTCACTGCTGGCTTCCAGAGCTGCCTGCAGCAGATAGTCGACTAACACTGCTGATACTCGTCAGCCTTCCGCACAATAAAATGTCTGGGATGGAGGAGGCTGCGTTTTTTCCAGCATTCGTCAAATGATGGTCGAATGACGGCGGGAGTGGATTGTAGAGGATAGGAAAAAAGTGGGTTTGGGAAATATTTGGATTGCTTAAATCATAATTCCTATAGTGGGGAATTATCGTGACATCGTTGTTTCATAAGACAGGAAGTCTAGTGGGTGATGAGGTTATTGCTTACCAAGGACACGGGGTCCGCGGCGACCCTCCGCTATGAGCTGATATATGCCAGGGTGCTTCCATCACTGGTTACACAGAGACACACAGTCGGGAAGTTTCCATCTCTCGGTCATTGTCTTGGCAGTTGGAAGAAAATTCTATTTCAAATATATTGTTGAACCAGTGTGATTTGTGGAATTCAGCTCAGCTTGTATGACCCTGATGCTTGAGAACTTTATTAACTGTACTTACAAATCGTTTTTTAACTCACTGACCCAAATTTCAAATTTTGTTTTGAACATTTAGCAGTGGTTCGCCAGTCAGCATCAGTTTCAACAATAATGTACAATTTGGCTGTATTGTCTTTCATTGTTCGAAAAGTCATTTACCCAAAATGTTAAAATATTTAAGAATATTCAGCAGTAAAAATGAGTTAAAGTTAGGTCTTGCCAGGGGTAGTAGGGCTGGCCTGGGCTAGCGGTGTCCGGAATAGTTGATTTAACATCAGTTCTGGCCTCAGGCTAATGTCACTTCCATCCTTTATAATACTAGAATAGATCTGCCTGGTCGTCACTCTTATGCAGAAGATAGCTCTATCTGTGTAAGGGCTCTGCTTTGGTCAGTGACAGAATGTCAGTAGGCCTGAAACAGCTTGACAATCAATCACCCGAGCTATTTCTGTGCTGAGTGACACAGATCGGAGTAATATGACACGTCATATTGCTTGACAGGGCATACAGGATTGTCTCCTGTGTAGTACGGACAGGTATTCCCCGTATGTCCCACCTAGCAGTTATTTATGTCTGCAAGGGGTCATGAAAGCCTGGTTTGTCATGTGACTTTGGTAGACAAATGGACCATCGATCACATGGAGTGCATTTTATTTATTTATTTATTTATTTATTTATTTATTTATTTATTTATTATTATTATTATTATCTGTCCATTAGGGTTGGTATCAAGGACAGTTTTTATAGGCTCACTATTGACTTGCCTGGCCGACTGGGATACAGTGCTAATTCCATCTATCGGCCCACTCTAAATATGTGGTGCCTCATTTATTGTATAATCAGTCTCAGACTATGAAATACAGCCTCTAATTCACTGGTGCAATAAGTAGTAGAGCCATGGTAAATGGTCCAGTTTATTGCAAGGAAAATGGTGGGTTTGCTCCTCAAGGACAGACTACATAAACAGTCATTTATCTCCAGCTGAGAAGCATGTCTGGCACTAATGACCGTTTTTACCCATTAGGCGATACGGTCAGGTAAACCACTCAGGGAGATGAATCCAATATGTCCGAGATGGTCACTTAACACATTATCCATCATTCCGGTCTAGCAGCAATCTTTTCCTCATTTCTGTCCCAACTCCATGAATTTCATTGAATACTGACCTAGTTTCAAAGTCGTCAATCACTAACTTCGCCTATTGATAGTTAACCATTATCCCCATCTTTAAGACCGACCATGTTAACCACATTCCTCCGACCCCTCATCCCTTCAAGGGACATGCTGGCCATATAACAGGATCCTGCCCTCTGCAATTAGCTTTATTGGAGTCAAAATATTGCGTACTCGTTCTGCACATCCTCTTGTGGCCTCCTTCCCCGCCAGGTTTTTGCCAAGGCGAGAGTAGTCGGTCAACGGGGAGGTGCGGGGATCACACCAACTTGACCGCAGATTATTGATCAGTTTAGGGAAGATTTCCGAGGGAATTGAAAGAGTCTGTAGGAGCAGATAGAGGTTGGCATCGGTTATGGCTGGTCCTTGTGGTTCTCTTATGTGATGGAGGTAACGTGGATGTTTGAAAACACGGTGGATGTTCTCGGTGGCGTTCAGTCACTTGGTGGTCCAGTAGTGAACAGTTTGGGATGTGGAGGACGTGTGTTGGAGTGTGGTGTCTGAGGGTTATTGATCACCGCTGCCAAGTTTGCGCTTAAACGTTCTTGTAGGTACTTCATGTATTGGTAATGCCCCTTCCTGCTCATGATGGATGAAGCTGAGTGGGTTTCAGCTGTTGCTGAGCATCCTTAGTAGGGACTCACTGTGTTGATAGCTGGAAGCCACTTTTTGATGCCTTTCAATACTTTCAGGTTGACAACGGAGGTCAAATTTACCAACAATTAAAAGCTTTATGTGTGATTGATATACATTGTGGATGCTTTTATGCAGTTCTGGTTAAGGAAACTTTCATTGATACTTTCTGACATGCCTGATTTGGTTGTGTGACATGGCTCTGTCTTACGTCAGCTTGTTGTGTTTCAGGACTTGGTCAAGAGTCACCTGATGTTCGCAGTCAGGGAGGAGGTCGAGGTCCTGAAGGAGCAGATCAAGGACCTCATGGAGAAGATCGGCCAGCTCGAGTACGAGAATGGGGTGCTCAAGGCCAATGCCACGCAGGAGACGCTGTCGAAACTGAACCTGCCCAAACCCCAGCCTCCATCCTCCTCATCCTAGCATACCCTGCCCAGCTTCCATGAATATAGAATCATGCATCCACCAAGTTCAGCTTGATAGTTTCAAGCACAGCCTCACGCTGTTAGCTCACGCGTGATCCATGGGATGGGATACTTTGACTGCGCCCAGTCAACCTACTCCCCGCCCCCGCCGCGTGTGGATTGGGAGCATCATTTTACCAGAACTGATCAATTTTCTGTGTTCGGAGAATCATAGAGAACTGTTCATGATATCATCATCATATGGCTGGATCACCAGATGCCACGACCCGGAGCCGTTACAGAGCCTCCTGAACAGGAAGCAGCCCTTAGTCTGTGACTGTTTTATCCGTGGTCCTTCACTATACACACAGATCCAAGCTTGGCCTTCCATTTCTCTTACAGTACTCTCCAACTCCTTGAAATCTTCATTGGGACTTCTTTGGAATCATCCATGTGACTTTACTTAGTCTTTTATGAAATATGCTAAACAAGTATCTTGACTTTTGACTTTTAACATGTCTTGCTTTTCACTGTGTCGGACTTTTATCTACTTCCTATAGACTATGCTGTTCATCATGAAGTGCTTTGAAAGATCAGTGGTGACTTGTTGAAAGTATTGCGAGGATATGGCGAGACTGCCTGTTGGCTGATGTAAGGTCAAGGTCATCATCCTACACCTGTCTGACTGTGATTGGTGGCAGTAGGTCATGTGAGAGCATGGCCTTCCTGCTGCGATGTAGAACTCGTAGTTAGTGTCCAATTAGTGGTCAGTAATCAGCTGCCCAGCCATGTCCATCTGAGCTCCAACTGGTGGGGCTCTGTAAGGGTTGTGGAGGGGTTCCGTAGAGGATGAAGCTAGGGGACACCATGGGGGAGACATGTGACAAAAGCGCCATCGGTGTTGGCTCTGTGTACCATGTGTATCGGGCACTATGTACCATGTGTATCGGGCACTATGTACCATGTGTATCGGGCACTATGTACCATGTACAAGTCCTGTATTGGGCATCATGTACCTGTTCTGTAAAGGGTTAATGTCTCATACCATGTGCATATCCTGTAATGGGTTAACAAAACACAGAGTACACTACAGATTGACATTCTGATGATGTCGTACATCTTATGCTGATGCAAACCAAGCCGGAGGGTGATGGTTGAAGTGAGATATGAGCTCAGATGGACATGGGTCTTACAGGGGCTGACCGCCCGTGATCACCGAGTGCTTATGTATATATAGTGTATTATACCCTAGGCTGATGTATCACAATGTATGCATTGCCTGTGCTGACTCAGCATAATTTGTATTTTATGCGAGAGTGTATATGTTTTATATTTCACACAGTGTGATATAAGCTTTGTGGATGATAACAAGCTTTAACCCCCTACGGTGACTGTATATTTCCAATAAGACTTGTGAATCTGTACATAGAGATTGTTCGTTGCATATTCTTACTGTTATGACAGATGTTCTCATATTTTCCTATGTGAAACCAAGCGCCAGTATGAGATGGCTGAGACATGCTCGTCGTGTCTTTGTATGGACGATGGTCATTAATTCCTGATAATGAATAACATTGTCAACGAATAACAATCCTACAAGTTGACATGACAATAGGTCCTATGGCCACAGTGTCCAGACATCTTGTAATAAATGACCAGGTATAATTGTACTGATACTCATAGCCTACTTCATATTTATCCCTTAAGGAATATCTTTGTTGGGCATTGCTATTTTCCAAGGTGACGACTGAGGTAAGACTAGTCATTAAGACAGGGCAGTGTGCTCTGTAGGACATTCAACCCCGACATTCAACCCCGACATTCAACCCCGACATTCAACCTCGACATTCAACCCAGACATTCAACCCCGACATTCAAGCAGGTTCCTGGTGCTAGGAACCTCTGTAGTCTTTATTCTTGGAGTGAAGTAAAACTATAATGCTAAGTACGAACGTCAAGGGGCCCTCGTCCCACCCTCATGTTATTAAACAAGACACAATATGGGTTAGGATCCATGGACATATGTCAGCTTCTAACACTGTACTGTGTAAGTTTAACACTTTGCATTGTAAAAGGACACACCTCCTTCCGCTCTGATACCAAATTCATTTATTCCGATCAAGGTTGATATGAGTTATTGAGTGATGTGATGTGAGAGAGACATGGTAACGACATCTTCGAGACCAGAGGATAACAATGCATTCCAAACCTGTGTGGGCGATCCTTGTATGCTAGAATTGTCATTCTTAGTAGAGGCTGATGTTGGATCGACCAGACAATCACCTTCACTATCGGTCTGCTTGACACCAAACTTTGGCCAACTTTGATTGAGTGTTTTTGGTACCTTGCCAAAGACTTCTTCTAGATTTCCCCCTTGACATCCCTGTGATCCTTGTCTTCGTCTTTTATCCTTGGACGTCTTGTCCTGAGATCACCTGCCACCAGAGTATGACTGTGCACAGAGTTCCACAGAGCTCCACAGGGTTCCACAGGGTTCCACAGGGTTATCACAACAGTTGAATGGTGTGTCATTCTTCTTGCTCCTGTAGCTCAGGCCCACTGGGACACTGCTTCAATGACTGTTCTGTGCCATGCACTGTTTAATACCCTATTCTTGATCAACTTCTGGCCCATTGGCCCCTGCCCAGTTAAAATGTCAAAAGGGTTTGTCAAAATTTCACCCCTTCTCCATGCATGTTTAATTTTTTGAATTGGACACTACCCTAAGTCATGTAATTTTGATGAGAAAGTAGGGGCAATGAGGTCTTGTGAATGGTTAACTCAAAGAAAGATATATGTGGATCATCTCGGTAGAAGGACAATCTGCATCGTGTAATGTTGTGTACAACAACATCTTTATTTGGTCATAAATCGCCACGAGGTAAATAGAAGCCAAGATTTAATCTCAGAGTGCAGGAAAAAAATGTTTCAGGGGTGAGGAGATCTAAAATTTTCAGAGCCCCACAAGGTGGCTATGTGACCTCGGGTTCAGCCGCTTCATGGCCTCCACCATTTAGTTCTAGGCCAGTTAGTTTGGAGCAAGCCCTGCTGGGTACACACAAATTTGTAGTTAAATCTTCCCCTGGTTAATATTCACTTTGCTAATAATCACCTGAAACATGTACTCCGGAATATTTCTTGGACTCGAAGAACTGCCAGGCTGATTGCTGTAACATGTTTTCAAGGTAAAATTATCCAAAATTGTGTTTTACAAAAATCTTTTGTCATTATTTCGTGATATGATCTACAATTTTATCAAAATTATATTGAAAAAGGAAGTAAATACTATGTGAATTGTTTTGAGAAAAAATGTCAAATTTTCAAATGTGTTTGCGTGAATGAGACGGGGTCATGGTAACAAGTGACTGGACAAGATGTGACACTGTTGGTGGTAAACCCGGACACACGTTTGTCCGGAGCAGTGAGACTGACGTGTCAGTAGATGGAGATAGTTCATCATCAGGTGTGGCATGCTCCTAAAGATACTTTTACTGCAGCCTGTACCGGGCTTGAAGATTGAGATATGTATAAAACTGTAAATATGTTGATAAACGGACTTAAATGTTTGTTTGAATTGTAAATGCTTCAAGTCAATTGCTACATGAATAAATAAACAATGTTCATTACAAGATGGCATGTTTTGTTTGAATACTGGCCAGAGGGAAGACTGCATTTGTGCACTAGCACAGTGGATAGTGTCGTAGGACAATCACAAGGTTTGATGGAGTAACTGGGAGCTCCTACTCTTTGCATTGAGTTTGTATGTTATTTATTTGTTTGATGCAGCACTCAGCAATATTCCAGCTATATGACAGCGGTCTGTAAATGATGGAGTCTGAGCCAGACAATCCAGTGATTGACATCACGAGCATCATATACGCAACTGGGATCGATGACATGCATCAACCAAGTCAGCGAGTCTGACCACCCGATCCCATTTGTCGCCTCTTACCATATGCATAGTCACATTTTACGGCAAGCATCATTTGCTGAAGATCTATTCTACCCCTGGTCTTCACAGGTCTTTGAGCAATTGAGTCATTTATTGACCACCAATTTCTAACTCAGATCTTCATGGGTGCCATGACTATACAGATATATTCCTCAAAACAGTCACTCACTCCTTGACAAAACTGTCTTGGTAGCTCCCTCTCCAGACAATTGTTCCAGTGAGTGAGTGAGGTCAAGCCTTATCCTAGGACAAGAACTGCATTCAGACAACATTGGGGAATTGAACCCAGGTTTTGGGGTGGCAAGCCCGCACTATAGCTACTAGGCTTCACCCTTGTTTGAATGCTGGCCATTAACAACTGAAATATCCATGTATAATGTTGATGGTTGTAGGACATTGAAAATGTACAGCTCTCTCCTCAGTGATGAAGGGTGGTGGGGTAGCCTAGTGGTTAAAGCCATGGGTTCGATTCCCCACATGTGTACAGTGTGCATGGCATAAAACTATACTCTCTCAGTGTTGAAGGGTGATGAGGTAGCCCAGTGGTAAAGCCATGGGTTCGATTCCCCACATGCTTACAGTGTGCATGGCGTAAAACCATACTCTCAGTGTTGAAGGGCAGTGGAGTAGCCTAGTGGTTAAAGTCACAGGTTCGATTCCCCACATGGGTACAATTTGCAAAGCTTATTACTGCTGTCCCCCGCCGTGATATTGCTGGAAAATTGGCGGCGTAAAATCATATTCACGCACTCAGTGATGTAACTAAAACAGGCGTCTACATCTCAACCGTGGATCATTGTGACTCAGACCACGCGGCCTTCACCTTGAGATGCAGGAGGTGTTGACGTGACACATGAATCGTCCATTCATTCACTTCCGGAAACGCGGGACAACAAACCCCACGGCATGGAGATCAGATAACGGAACCGTAGTCTTCCGGTTAATTAAAAAAACAGGATTTGAAACTTGGCCAAATTAACAGTCTATCTCCCACACTTATCGTTAACCCCATTCGTCGCCACTCCCATCTTCCATAACCTACAGTGACCCTCTTGCGGGAAAGGGGCGAGTGTTGACGAACAGGTCAGACGTCCCCATTTCTTGATGATTGGCGTAATTCCGCTGACGGCGGTCTCTAAATAATCAAGTCTGGACCAGCCAATCCAGTGACTGACATCATGAGCATCGATCTACGCAATTGGGATACGATGACATACATCAACCAAGTCAGCGGGCCTGACCACCCGATCCTGTTAGCGACTTTCTGCGACAAGCATTGCGGAACGCTACTTCTCACCACAGATGTATGGAACGCTGAACCCCTGGCTCGTCGACACCAATCATCTAGGCGTTCCTGTAATGAACTAATTGTACAACGAACTAAGACTATTTGCCCAGCGACTTGTGCGAGAATATGTGGCAAATGACATAGCTCATTACTTCCCAGGGGTGGTGGGTAGCCTAGTGGTAAAAGCGTTCGCTCGTCACGCCGAAGACCCGGGTTCGATTCCCGACATGGGTACAATGTGTGAAGCCCATTTCTGGTGTCCTCCGCCGTGATATTGCTGGAATATTGCTAAAAGCGGCGTAAAACCATACTCACTCACTCACTCATTACTGCCTTTGTGTTGTGACTGTGGGTGGTCCTCGGTGGTCACGGACGCTAAAGTAAAGTGTGAGTGAGTGAGTGACTTTAGTCACGTCGGCATATTTAAGCCATAGTGTGACTTGTTATACAATATTTCTGAAACACTGTCCACGAAGGAGGGCTGTATAATAACTAGCAATATAGCACAGATTGACTCCAAACTAGTTGTAGAATATTCAAAATATCTGATTATTGGGCAAAGACACGATATAAAAATCGGTCCATAGATCACCAGCAACAAAGGTCAGGTCGCCATGCTAGGGACCAAGGGGACTTCTGGTACCTCTGCTACCTGCATGGTTCCCCAGCAGGATTTACTCCTTTCCCTTAATTACTGGCGATTGTTGCAAGTTTAGCCAGAGATTAAAAGTGAACTGCTATTCGTAGAGGTGAGTGAGTGAGTGAGTATGGTTTTACGCCGCTTTTAGCAATATTCCAGCAATATCACGGCGGGGGACACCAGAAATGGGCTTCACACATTGTACCCATGTCGGGAATCGAACCCGGGTATTTTACTAGAGGTAGGTATAAACATACTTGGAATGAGGCCCTCACAGACCCTCTCTGGGACAGCTACAGCCAGCCGGGCTATACATGGGTTCCACACAATTGTCTGCACTGTGACGGCGTCCAGTGTACACGTATATCGATCCTTCTGAAGATCACTGCCGAGCCCTGTGGAATGTCTGGAGCCGATGGCTGTCAGGTCTAATCGAATCAACCATGGCGTCATTGGGTTGTGTGGTCACAACCAAAAAACGCCAATGACGTCATTGTCGAGCGAGTGATTAATGAGTTTTGCTTTATGAAAGGGCTATGCGGAAAACTCTTGAAAACAGGTCATCAGAAGTATCCCATTGCTGTCATCTGTTTTATTCTGTCTTTGATGGAGGGCGTGTTTGTTGGATCTGTTGCTTCAGATCTTGGCTGAATCTGTCTTGACCCAAAACCATTTTGACGGCGGTAGCATAAGTCTCCGTCTCAGAGGCTCCTTCATTCATAAGTTCCTTCAATACACGGCGGTGGCGCTGGAGGCCCAGTCGTCTAATCGACTTTGCGTCCCTTTGGTGTACCAGGATCCGCCGATCGTTGGTTCGAGTCCCAGATTGGCACTGATTATAATTCTTTGTTTGTAGAAAACATTCCAACTTCAGATTTCTGTATACCCCTTACTTCATAACGAAACGACCCATTCATTGTAATTAAGAAGTTGGATATCCATCGAACTATCTTCCTCGGGCTGTTTAGTTTCTGGCTGGTGGTTAGAAATCCGAAGCCTTGGAACCCAGCCTGCTGAAACCTTGATCATGCCAAGTTCCTTCCTCAGAATGTGCTCAACTCTCTCACGAGACACTGTTTCAGCTGTCTGACGTGTGGTGATATCAATGAGGGGGCACGGGTGGCCCAGTCGTCTAAGGCGCCGCGATTCGCTGTGCAGAGTTGCGTCCCTTGGACACGCCAGAAACCTATGATTGTGGGTTCGAATCCCGGTTCGCCCCAATTATGTTTCTGGGTTTGTCAGCACCATACCCTTGCTCGTTGGTTTCACCGAAGTGGTAAACGTCTTAGACCTGCATCACTTCGGTCTTTCCTCCCACATTAAGCTTACACGCCGTGTTATAACTGGAATACTGTTAAAAGCGGCGGTAAACCCAACTCACTCACTCACTCACTCACTGATATCAATGATATCATGTACTTTAACCACATCGTCCTCTGCGGTCCTCTGTTGAAGGTCCTCCTGATCTTGGATCGCTTTAAGCACTGGGGCTATGGTCTGGCTGGGTACTGGGTCGCTTTGGATGGCATCTCGTTTGAAGAATATTCTTACTTCTGTGATCAATACCATTCACCATCAAATTCAATAAACTTATTGCATCATGATTTGCTAACGAGGGAAATGACAACGTTATTAAGACATGAAATTCATTCTGGCGTTGATCGATACACATGAAATAAGTGTGGAGGGTTAATATTTCAATAGATATAGTGTTTTCAGGCCTATTTAGAACGGGCACGAAGTGGGACGGTTGGTTTGCACATTATTATGGCGTTACAGCAAGACGTCTAACTATTACAGTGAACTCTGGGGCCATCTTTTCATGCGAATTGTTAACAACTCTTTCGTCTGTCGTTATTTGATATGTCGGGGTACGGATGTCCAGTCATTGTCTAGAGTTGCGTCCCTTTGGCGTGCAAGAATCCGATGATCATGTGTTCGAATCCCAGATTCTCCTTTATTATCATTTTTCGGTACTGACTGACTGACTGACTGACTCACTCACTCACACACACTATTGCGGGAATATGACGGCCGCGGACACTGGGACTCACACGTTGTAGCAATGCGCGCAGGCTGGGAATGAAACTCGTATATTCGGCGTGACGAGCGAACACATTAACCACTAGGCTACTCCAACAAGTGGAAACGGGATACAGTTCTAGCACGGCCCTACCATGTTTCAAAGCCCTATCTTGCACATACACATAGTTTCAAGCTGGACTTTGTCTATTTTCAATAATTAATTCAAACAGTCATACCCCACGCATTTGTCTCGAACAATCTTCCACGGCCCGGGGTTAGAACAGGCCCCAAGTACTCGCGACCAAAATGTTTTTTTGGTTTGGTTTGTTGTTTTACGCCGCACTCAGCAATATTCCAGCTATATGACGGCGGTCTGTAAATAATCGAGTCTGGACCAGACAATCCAGTGATTAATATCAGGAGCATCGATCCACACAATTGGGATCGATGACATGCATCAACCAAGTCAGCGAGCCTGACCACCTGATCCCATCAGTCGCCTCTTACGACAAGCATAGTCGCCTTTTAAGCAAGCATGGGTTTCTGAAGACCTATTCTACCCCGGAATCTTCACGGGGAGACAAAAATGTACACCAATCTTTATTATGTTGTAAATAAAGCTGAAGATTGGGAATCAATATGGCTAAAGAACATTATACCACATGGAGCCAATGAGTAAGTTTTGGACAAGCCTTTGCGTTATTTCAGAATTATCAGAGGGCAC